CACATGATTCGTTGGCTGACGCCGCACACCCGACCCTTTGGGGCGGCAGTAAAAGTGAAAACGGGGTTGGCGGAACGATTTCCGGGGAATATTGGGGTTTCAGCTTCTTGGGATTTCGTCGGGGGCGGTTGGTGGATCGCCGCTCTGTTTTTAGGTTTCTCTGAGTTCTCCTGGCAGCACCGGGGGCCGTTTTGAAGCCCCTGGGAGCCTCTTTTGGGCCTCTCCGGGGCCTCGTGGGAACTTCTTGGGGGCCTATTGGCGCCTCCTCAATTTTTCCGGGGCCAGGTGCTCGAAATGTTCACTCGGGTTCCCCGTCTGGGTGTCCTTTTTGGACCGTCATGGGGCCCTCTTGGTTCGTTTTGGAAGCTCTTGGGGCCGTCTTGGGGCCGTCTTGGGGCCATCCCGGGCCGTTTTGGAGCCTTCTTGGGGTTCTTTGGGGTTATCTTGTGTCGACCTTAAAGGCTTCTTGGGCCGTTGTGGGCCTCGTGAAAACCCAAGGGGCGACTGTGCTACAAATGTACGATTCCCCTTTGGAATGGGACGATTTTTACTTTTGGAGGGCCTCTTGGAATCTTGGTGGTTTTTTGGGGCGTCATGGGGGCTGTTGGGGCCGTATGGAGGCAATCTTGGCTGTCTAGGACCGATCTTTCGGCGACTCGTAGCCCCCTGGGACCCTCCAAGGTGCCTTTTGGGGCCGTCTTGGCCCGTTTTGGGGCACCTTGAGGCTCCAAGGGTGCGGCTGGCACCTTTAACCCAACCTCCCCCCGAATCGGCCGGACCGGGCTCCCGGGGGAAGGGTTTAGGGAAGGGGGAAGCATCTCACACGCCGTGACCCCAAGGGGTCGGCGGATTGTTGTTGGTGTTGTTGCTGGTGTTGCAGTTGTGGTTGTTGTTGGTTTTGTTGTTATTGGTGTTTTTGTTGCTGGTGATGTTGCTGTTGTTGCTGCTGCTGTTGATGTTGTTGGTGGTGTTGTTGTCGTCGTCGTCGTCATTGTTGTTGTTGTTGGTGTTGGTGCTGTTGTAGTTGTTGTAGTTGTTGTTGTTGTTGTTGTTGTTGTTGTTGTTGTTGTTGTTGTTGTTGTTGTTAAGGTTGTTGTTAAGGTTGTTGTTGGTGGTGGTGTTGTTGGTGGTGCTGCCGAGTCTGATGATTTTCCTGTTGTGGTTCTTAGCGTTGAGCAGTTGTCATGTTTGCAGGACCTGTATTGTTGATCCCTCCTCGGCCATTGCTTTTCACTTTAAGTGTTCTTCCAGGGGCGCGCACCATGTTTCTAACAAGGGGGAGGCGGGGGTCACCCAGCTGGGCTCTTGGCCTCCGAGGTACAGCATCGTCGGCTCCCGCCTGATGCTTCTTCACACATCAGTCGCTCTCGCGCGGGACTTCCTCACAATGTATGCAGGAATCGCGCTCTCGCGTGGGACTTCCTCGCAACGTATGCAAACGCCGCGCCGTCGACACTCAGGGGTCATGCTCTTGCTTCAGTTTCTCTCGCGACTTCTGGGGAATCGCGCCATCGCTCGAGACGTCCTCGCGATTCGTGCAGGACTCACGCTTCAGCAGGACTCGCGCTTCAGCGACCCCCCTTGCTCGACCTGCTTGCCTGGGCCCGCCTTCCCGACCCGCCCGCCAGGGTCCGCCCGTCCAGTCTGCCCGCCTGGTTCTGCCTTGTGTTTTTGCTGCTCGGGCCCCCCCCCTGCTACAGTCAGCGCGCCTAGTAAGGACGCGCGCCTTCATCTAGGGTACCCTGGTATGCTTGCATCTGCGGCCCGTCCTTTGTCGCTTTCACGGGTCGCCCGCCGCACGAAAACTCCCGAGTTCAGCTTCCAAGGGTCTTGCGTCCTTACCACCCGTCCTCAATACACGTTTTGGCTGTAGTTTCTCTCGTGCTCCCTCCTTCTCCGGTTGTGTTGGACACCCGGCTTTCGGAAAGCGCCGGTTGTGTTGGAAAGCCGGCGTTCGGCGGCGAGCGAAAGCCTTGGTCCCGAGTAGAAATGGAGGAAGTGGGCGTGCGAGTGTTGTTGGCGTTTCGGCGCACCCTTGAAAGACCCGAGGCGAGAGCGCAAGGGCACCTCTAGGGGGTCCAACACTAATTGTTCAGCAGTTGAGGTTCAACAACATCGCCAGCAATCATTATAACATCTGTTCGCTCTTTGCTGCCCGCTGGCCATTCAGCGCGCATGTTCCAGACATTCGATCCCCGCCTTCCTCGTCTTCGATTGTGCCCTCTTGGGGGTTAGTATCAGTCTTGCCTGCAACGTGTATTTCAACGTGTATTTCGTTCAACCCTTATGGCCAGGGAAGAAAGGTCGGATTGAAGGAAGGGACATTGGGGAGGGAGGAAGATGGCAAACGACCAATTGTAGCGAGAGTTTGGCTACGGGCAGAAAACACTTGGCAGAACCAGACGGGCAAATCGGGCGGGTAGACCCTAACGGGCGGGTCGGGAAGCGGGCCCAGGCGGCCAGGTCGAGCAGGCGGGTTGCTGAAGCGTGAGTTCTGCACGAATCGCAAGGAAATCCCGAGCGATAGCGCGATTCCCCAATAAATCGGTAGGAAATCAAAAGCGTCAGCGTGATTCCTGAGTGTCGAGGGTGCGGCGTTTGAATACATTTCAAGGAAGTCCCACGTGAGAGCGCGATTTTTGGATGAACTGTGATGACGTCCCGCGCGAAAACGTGATTTGGGAATCAATTGTGACGAAGTGTGAGGCGTGAGCTGTTCTTGTTGTTTACTGGGGCCAGGGGCGCAGTTTGATGCCCCCACGCCTTTCCTTACTTAAAAACCGGACGCGGGCCCGGGTGGAGTCCCGGGTGGAGCACTTGAATTGAATGAACGCAGCGTCCTTGAGGAATCAGAATTTGAGGAATCAGAATCCCACATCAACAAACAATAACACGACAGCAATCCGCAACGGGGAATCCCATATCAGCCACGCACCCAGGCACATTGAAGGAGCCTTTGCCCCTTCGCTCTGGTGAAGGGCGAAGTGAAGACCAAACGGCATATATATATATATATCTATAAAGATACTGTCATGTCTATATGCTCCCCAACCCGTGGCTTCACGTATGGGTTCTCGCTCCTGTCCTAAGGCATGCTTGCCGCTCTGGCGGCCAGGGGGCGCCGTCGCCGCCCCGTCGCCCGCCTCGTCGCCGCCTGTCGTCTCTGGGCCGGTCCTGCCGCCGCGGTGGCTACTGTGGCTGCCGCCGCCGCTCCGGCGCAGCTTCGTCGCAGCCTATAGGGCTGGGCCTGCGCTTTTTTGTCGGGCGGCAGTGTTGCCGCCATCGCTTCTCCGTCGCCGCCTCGCACGGAGTGCGCCGCAGAAAGCGGTCCGCATATATATATATATATATATATATGCATATGTATATGTATATGTATATGTATGTATGTGTGTATATATATATATATATTGCACCGCGTAGACTGCAACACGTAGCTCGCACAACATATCGACAGCGTAGAATACTTTGCATCTATCGCACAACAGAGGTTTGTAAATCGCACAGCATGGATGAATCATCATAGGTTGCACCAGGTGTATTGCACCATTGCCACATACATTGCGCCACATATTTTGCACCACATATATTGATTGCACCGCGTAGATTGCACCACCTATCTTGCATTACATCTACTGCACTCCATCGATTGCGCATCATGGGCTGGACAACATGGATATCACCGCGTAGATCGCACAACCTAAATTGCACGACGCTGATCGCACCGTAGCTGTCGCACAACATAGGTAGCAGAATGTAGTCGGCATCGCACATAGTGCACAGCCTTGGTCGCACAACAGCATCTGTTGCACCACATCGCGCCGCATATATTGCACCACGCAGGTTGCTCCACACAGATTTCACCACATATATTGCATCACACATGTTGCGCCGCCGATGTTGCACCACATCGATTGCACAACACAGATCGCACAACCGTTTTATTGCACCGCATACATGGCACAGCTGTGATCGCACACCGTAGTTTGCGCAGCATAGTATGCACACCATATATCGTACAACCTGAATAGCACCCCACAGATCGCACCGCCTATACTGCACCACGTATATTGGGCAACATAGATTGCTTCACGTTGAAGGCACATCATGTATTGCTCGATTCAGACGGTTTGGGGTCCACGCTGGCCAATCCATACATACATATGCGTGAGAACGAGAGTGCGAGAGAGAGAGAGAGAGTACAGCGCATATTTGTTGATTGACATCCTATGTGATCAGGGTGAGTGGTGTATATATACATCGACCCAGAACGAGAGAAACCTAGATAGCGACAAACGCTTACACACTAGTCGATCTATGTATGTACATCTATGTGCACATGCACATGACATTGACCATCACACATCTGAGAGTAGAGTACTCATGGTAGAGAGTCAAGCTTTCTCCCAATCAGTGCCTGCGCTGAAGGGGTCCTCGCATACGTTGAAAGAGGTGGCGGGAGTATCTTGCCCAATACGAGTGATAGGCCCATTGAATTATGAAGCGACACGCGCGGCTGCTTCGCAGTGGCTCGAGGGCGAACCCACGACGAGAGGGAACGCTGTGGTCGGCCTGCAGCTCAGCCAGGGCGGGCAAGCATGACCGACACTTGTGGAGAGCCTTTGATAGGACTTCCCATGTCTTTGCTGGAGGCGACATGGCATTGTTAAAGGATCTGCTCTGGCGCACTTCATAACGAATGGGGTGCGCGGGACGCGCTTCGGATCTCATTCCCAGGATATAAGCCGTGAAGGTATGGAGCGAAGTGGGGGTTTGCAGTGAAGTCTGGCAATGGACCGGGGGAGGGGTACAGGAGGATGAGGAGGACGACGTGACGGCGGCGGCCTTTCCCGAGGCCCTGGGGCGCTTCTGGTGATGAGGCTTCGGGATGCCGAAGCGGCGGGCAGGAAAGTAGCGAAAACTTGAGCATCCAGGGTCGAGGCCATGGCGGCGGCGACGCGACGACGAGGAGCCCCGAGTGGAGGGCTCCCCGCCGGGAGGCTCAGCAGCAGGGAGACCGCGTCCGCGACGCCGCGTTCTCCCGCGTGGAGTCCAAGGTGGCCACCACCGAGGCGGCGGGCGGGCAGGGGGCATGTCGAGTGCTTGGGCGACCCCGGGGCTCCCTTCGGAGCGCCTTTGGCGCTTGAGCTCACTACAGTGCCGTTTTTAATGCATGCTCCGCGTGCGGATCATGTATAAAAAATGCAGGGATTTGCATTAAAACCAACGATGAGGTCACGCATGCATCTACTTACACATTAATCATGTATCAAAACATATATGTTAACAACATCCTATGTATTAAAAACTGCCCTGTCGGCTGCCGAACGGGCAGCCGAACGGGCTCCGATCCAGATGCTGGCGGGAGCGTCGTCCGTGCGGCAGGCGAGTGGGCTCGGCTCGACACCGGGCTCGCTTGGTGGCCGAGCGGGCTCGGAGGCGAGCCCCCTGGAGAACTACAGTGCCGTTTTTCATAATGCTCCGCGTGCGGATCATGTATTAAACATGCAGGGATTTAGTAGGAAAAACAACGATGAGTTCATACACAAACTTACTCATGAATCAATCATGTATTATAATCATATTTTTCAAAATCCCACTATCGGGGGCCTATCGCCGATGTATCGGCGAGGTATCGCCGATTTCATATCGATGCATCCCCCCCTATGCCAGTCCCCCCCTCATCGTTGCTCCCCGAAAGGGGTGGTGGACGGTTCAGGGGGGCAGGCATCGCCAGCTTCGGCGCTGGTACCTCCTCGGCGCTAGTATCTCCATCAGCCTACGCAGCGAGGCTCCAGCCAGCATGGTATAGTTCTTGCTCGGGACGAATCTGGCGCAATTGCACCCCATAGTCGGGCGTGCTCGTGTAAGACATCCCCGCAGCCACCTCTGAAGGGAGGAGCGGGAGGGTGGTAGGGGTAGGGTTCGCAGGTGCCTGGCATCGCTCGGCCGTGTGCATTTTTTTTCTCGGGCGAGAAAAATCAAGGAGAATCCTTGATCATTTGGCGAACAAACCACGCACGAAACCGAACAAAAACACTGGGAATGGACGTCCGAGCGATGGCGAGGGTGGCCTCCTAGATGGGGGGACAGATGAGAAAAGCTCTGAGAGTCCCAATGTTGACTCTGCGGGGGATCATCGGAGAGCCTCCCCGCCCAGCTCCGCCTCGGGAGGTCCTCAGGGAGTCTCCGCGTGGCTCCTGGGGGCAGCCGGGAGCTCTGCGAGTTCCAGGAGGACGTGTCTGGAGGTCTCAAAGACCTCGACCCTCGAGGAGGGGGAAATAGGGTAGTAGGGCTACACAGAGGAGGGAGGCAGGGGGGCACCCGGGGGCCACATCGAGTCCTAGCAGCAGCGACGTACACGTGCACGTTCGGATGCCCGCGCGGCCCTGCCGTGTCGGCACTGTTCCCCCCCCCCGCTTGTCGGCGCCCCGCGCGCCAGGGCAAGGGGACCCCGCGGCGACCCGAGAATCCTCTGCGCGGGTCTCCTGCACCCCGTGCCGCTGTGCCCGAGCATGGCCTCACCTCTCTCTCCGCGGGCGCCTCGCGTGCCCCGTGCCGCGCCTGGCGTCTCTCGGGCCGCACGAAAGGGGGGGAATTGGGAAAGGGGGGGTTACGAAAGTGGCTGCCTGCAGCTGGTCTCGGCCAGGCCGATGGGCCCATTCCTCGATACACAGCCGCCTCCCGGCGCCGGGAGGCGCCGGGAAAATCAGCTACGTGAGCTGATTCTCAAGCCCCCCATTGCTATCCCCCCCTTTCGCCCGACCCGAGTCTCCCGAGGAGTCGCCGATCCCTGACACACGGGCTGTGCGGTGCACAGCTTCTGTGGCCCTGAGGGCCGAACAAGGCCTTGGAGTAAGCCAATAGCGGCATCGGATCGGCGCTGGAGGCTCTCTGGCGCTCGGAGCGCGCCGCGGGCGGCGCAGGAGGCGCCGTGAGGGGAGTCCAGCGCTGAACAAGAAATCCGCATATATACACATATGTATATATATACATATGTATATATATATATATGTATCAAGTTTAGTTTTCCAGAGACGGTCTGCATCTTGCCGCGCTGGAGCCCCCCGACGTGACTTTCTCCTGGCGTGGGCCCCCAGGGGTCTGGACCCTTTCCAGGGGACTTTGCTCTCCATCCTGAGTTAATTAAATTCTTTCTTCACGGTCCAGAGGCGCGGTCAGGGACCCCACTGGGCGGAGGCAGGGAGTCTTTTCCCGCCGCGCTCTCGTCTCGACTCGAGGGGGTCGGTCTGGGGGGGGGGGGCCGAGGGGGGCCCCACACACGGCACGGTGCCCCCCGGGCGCGGCCCCCGCGCTCTTCCCTCTCGAGGACCGGCGGCGCCTTCGGCGGGGGGTGTGAGCGAGAGTAGGGGGCCATATGCGAACCCTACCCCTACCCCCCACGACTTCTGAGGGGGAGGGTGGGGTTCACTTCGCTCGAGGGCTCCCGAGCGAAGTGAACCCCTCCCTCCCCCTCAGAAGTCGTGGGGGGTAGGGGTAGGGTTCGCATGTGGCCCCCTAGAGAGAGGGGGGGAAGCCTTCTCGGAAGTCGGTGGGGCTCCCAAGAATCCCTTGGGCCTCTGAGAAGCCGAGGCGGGAATTGTTGCATGGCCACCGCCCGGAGGATCGATGTTCGGTGGCCTCGGCAGGCTGTGGATGCTCACACATTCGCCCCCCCGGTAGCCAAAGTATATATCCAGATCCACCGCCCGCTGGGGCACGGGGACGTCGGTCCCGGGCGGTGGAGTGGATATGGATAACTCCCCGCCTCGCCGAGAAGCCGCCTCTGTCTTCGGACAAGGCTCAGATCGCTCCTCTGAAGGCCGGGCGGAGGCCTTCCTCGAGCCTTCTTCTTATAAGGAGGCTCTTCGGACCTCCTGCCCGGCACGGCGCCGCAGGGCGCCGCCCGCGTGTTCCTCGAGGCCGTGCGCCCCCTCCCGCGCCCCCTCGTCCCCCTTCCGCTCGGGAGCATGAGCGTGCAGTGCCGTTTTTGATACATGCGCCGCGTGCGGATCGTGTATAAACAATGCAGGGATGTAGTATCAAAAACAACGATGAGTTCATGCGCAGATTTATTCATACATTGAGCATGTATTAAGATTTCTTGTTGCAAAAAAAACGTATCCAAACAATCCCATGTGTTAAAAGCTGCCCTGTAGCGTGCCACCGCCACCGCCGCCCCGGGGGGGGGGTCGGAGGAGCCGGCGTGCGTGCGGGATGCGGGTGTGCCAGGGCTGGACCTGAACGGTGTTTTGGCGATTTCGTGGTCCGTCCTACGTTTCGACTTCGTTTTGCGGTAGAGGTGGATTGAAAAACGAGGGAGAACGAAAACACAACGAAAACGAGAAACACTGTTTAGGTTTGGCCCTGCCCTCTGCCTCCGTCCTCCAGATGGTGGTAGTCTTCGGTCGGGCATGCCCTCCTACAGGCGGATTTGGACTAAGCACTCCTACAGGCGGATTTGGACTAAGCATTAAACAGCAGTCCAACACATGTTCAAACATAGCCACGAATATTGGAACAAACACGTCCCCAGACTGTATTTGACTATTGTTTGATCTTCCTCAGCTAGGGGGACGTCCCCGACTTGATGGCAGTGGTGCGTTTCCTTTCCTGCCTGCGCGCTCGCCGCCCCTGCCGCCCTCCTGAAGCCGGTGGGGCGCACCGCGCAGCCCGGGGGGGGCGCGCCGCAGGCCGCGCAGCCGCGGGTGGACCGCCGCCTCGCGGAGCTCAACGGGAATTACAAGGCTCCTCTCTTACCAGTTTGAAGCATATCCCTATCCCTATGTTTGACATCACCTCACCTCGATGCCGATCTTAAGGATTCCCTCAGTTTCTGAGGGCCTATCCCTAAGATTGTCCTCGCTTTTTGCTCGCCCATCTTAGGGATAGGGATACGTTCGAGGCTGGTTACTCTCCGCTCACTGTGGCGGCGACACCCGATCGACGATCCAGGCAATTCGACGGGCG